AAGAAACTTATGGTTTCAAATCACAAAAATCTCCACCAAACAAAAATTACTATCGGAATTCGGGAAAAAGTGTTATTCTCAGTGATAAATAATATTAAATTTAATAAAATGCGAAATGACATCGATAAGATCAAGAAATCTGATAAGATAGTTATCAAATCCCATAAGATCGGTAACCATTATTACATCGACGTAGAATTATACCACAAAGCCATCAATACAGAAGACAATAAATTTTATTAAAAAGGCGGATGACGACTGGGGAAGAAAACTATCAACCGTGATGGGCGACCGAGCTGAAAATAGACGATAGAATTCCAAAATTACATAAACAGGCATTCGTTACGATTAAAGACCACACGGAGATTTACCTAAAGAACCCCCAATACCAACTGCTCACTCCAAAAATAACATTGATATTATCATAATGGAAAGTGCGTGCAGGTATTTTAAAAAGGCTTTAGGAATCAACCAGTGGCGAAATAAAGCCGAAGCTATTGAATGGTTCAATAATATTAAAAAAAAAAAGGAATACGCATTTTAAAATTTTGATATCTGTGACTTCTATCCATCCATCACGAAGATCTACTGATGGCCGCAATTAATTTAGCAAAGAACGACTGCCACATTTCTGACCAAGAAGTAAATAAAAGACGGGTAAAGAAACCGATACAGAAGTCTATGGACTAAGAGAAATAACCAAGAGTTTTGTGTATCGATGGGAGAACATCATTCTGCGGATACATGCGTACTTACAGGGATACTGTTACTATGGCGACTCAGATTTATCACTGACATAAAAAAAGAATAATGGGAATATACAGAGACGACGGGATAATTCGCCTTCGTAAATTGAGACTAAGACAAGCGGACCGGATGAGAAAGGACCTAACTAAATCCTTTAAGGACCATAAACTGAATATTACCACCAATACTAACGTTAAAGCGATTAGTTTCCCAGACTTTGTATTAGATCTAAGGGCCTGTATAAAGCATACGCTAAGGATTCATACAACCACAAGTACGTTGGCAGAAAATTCAACCACAAATCAGTACAATTTAGGCTATCGACCAATTTCAGTAACAAAGAAATATTTGACGATAATAAAACTAAATGTACTAATACGCTAGAAAAAAGCAACCACAAAGCGAAATTAGAATATGCAGAAAGAAACAAAAATAAAGATAAAATTAAGATAAAACAACGCAAACGTTCAATATTTAAAACGTTTAAATACGGTTCAACCAACTTTACTATAATAACGTCCAAACTAATGTACGTAGAACTTTTCTAAATTTAAATCATACTTTGGTCACTCTCCGATACACACAAAAAAGATTTTCAACAAAAATAGTATTAAGGTAAGCTATAGCATCGATAATTATATTTCGCAACATAATATATTAAGCAAACACACTAAAAATACTAAATAATAATCATAATAAAAGTCAATACAACAGCCGTAAAAACGTAAGCTGCCCACTAAATGGCCAATGCATGACTGAAAGTATAATCTACAGAGCTAGGATCAATTCAAACGAAGATGTTAAATATTACTCTGGTTCCACCGAAAACAAATGGAAATTACGTTTTTACCATCAGCAAATGACGCTGAACAATATTAAATACAAAAAATTGCACAACACTCTCAAAATATATTTGGCGATTAAAAAACTATAAGAACTGATCCATTAGCTGGTAGATAATTGTGAAAGCTAAACCCTACCATTGCGTTTGTTGGAAATGCTTATTATATTAAAACATTTAAATAACCCTAACTTACTAAACAGGTGGAGCACCTGCTCAAGCACATTGACCCCGAATAAATAGATTTTACGAATATTAATATATATAAAACCTATGAATATTCATAGAACCCAATATTAATAACATTTTTATATATCTATACACATATATAATCCCATATTATAGATCGTACTCGATCCAAGGTTCCAAATGCATTAGATATATAGTCTTAACCTATAATGATGTTAAAATCGTGAGAGCTTACAATATTTTAGAAACTACCAATTATTTCTGTTACAAATAACAACAGTTTTGTATGCAAAAAAAGGAATTATCCCCCTTGACACATAGCGTGTTTACATAAATTCAAGTTTTTAAAAAATTATTTAAAACAATTTTTTTATTTTTCGTCTTTCGAACTTAAGACTTTGAATGATATCAATTGTAAATAAATAATTCTAATTTTATAGACAACAATAATAAAATGAATAAATCTTAAAAAAAAAAAAACAATTTTAAATCAACAGCACAAAAATGCGAATTTCATTACGCTTAACGGCCAGTGAGTATTTTGCACTTGAACATTGCGTGTTTGCAAAAACTGGAAATTCTACCGGGATTTAGCATCACGGCTACAATCTTAACAACATAAGATACGCAGATGATACAGTACTGATAGCAGACACGGTAAAGAAATTGCAAAACCCCCTACAGAAGGAGAGCGAAGAGAAGGGACTAAGCATAAACTACAAGAAGACAGAATGCATGGTCATCAGTAAAAGGATGAGCCCGAAATGCGATTTGCAGGTTGGGAACACTAGAATCAAGCAGACGCGGAAGTTTAAATATCCGAGAAGTCTTTTGACAGAGGGCGGCAAGTGCGACACTGAGATCCGTAGACGTATTGGGATGGCCAAGGACGCATTCCAAAAGTTGGGTACAGTATTGCGAGACATAAAGGTCTCTTTGGTAACAAAGAAAAGAGTACTGAGCTGTTATATGACATCTTTTTTTCCTTTACGGCAGCGAATATTGGACGGTCTCCTCAAAGATGAAGAAGAGACTTGAGGCGACGTAGATGTGGTTCTACAAAAAGAAGCAGACTGAGACTGTAAGCAACGATGAGGTCTTGGAGATGATGAAAACAAGAAGGGGTCTTATACTTAACATTAGGAAGAGGTATCTGAAGTTTATGGGACACGTAATGAGAAAGGAGGGCCTGGAGAATCTGATACTCACAGGTCGAATAGAGGGAAAGAGACAAGGGAAAGCAACTCGTGGCATACCTGGCGGGCTTAAGCAAGTGGATGACAGAACGTAGCCTGGGGGAGGTGGCAAAAGGATGAAGTTTATTGAGAGCTACAAGGGATAGGAGAGCATGATCGCCTACGTCCTGAAAGGACACGGCATATAAAAAGAATATTAATTTTGTGAAGTGGGTCGAGCCAATAACTTTTCAGCATCCCCTCATACGACGGGGATAAAAAAAAAAGAAAAAGAAATAAACAAGACTTCCTCTCTTACCTTAGGAAATGAGGGACATTTTCCTCACAATTGAAGAGGATAATTGAGACAAGAGATGAGGTGAAACAGAAGGATGATGAGGATACCATGGACAGAGCATGCAGATGAAGTTTAAAAGAAAATAGGGACATAAAGAAGCTTAGAATCGGAAAGAGACAGTTGCGATTACTTGAACACATAATGAAGAAAGAGGACCTGGAGAATTTGACATTCATATGACATACTGAAGGTCACAGGGGAAATAACGAGTAACCTACATATAGTTATGTAAATAGATGGCATAACAGAAAAAGCTATAAAAGATAAGTTATATAGTGCTATGATCTCCACATCCTGATTGGAAACAGCATACAGAAAAATATACCTTGAATTGAGTGGAATTTATGGATATAGAAAAGATTTTCGAAATATATTCATTTAACTTTTAAAATGTTTCATATAAATATTCATAATAAACTCGCTAAATAAATTCTTACATACTTTCTAAAGAACCTGTTTTTGCTGTCCATCAGCATGGCTGATGCTAACCTCTAGGAGAGCGACTAATTACGTTTTCTTAAGCTAACGTTTTCCCCTGACATGAAGTGGAGAGATTACATTGAATCAATTGCTAAATCTGCTCCAAGAAAACTTGGTTTATAGTGTCGTGTTAGACAAGTTTTCTCGTCAGAATCTATCTTATACATTTTATAAGTTCCCCATTCGTCTACGCATTGAATGTTGCTTCCACATCTGCTCTGGTACTTCTGCTATATATTTAGAGATTATTGGTAAAATAAAAAGAATCTGCAATATTACATCATGCCTTCAATTAATTTCAGGTTATTGTAATGTAGCTTCCCTTTATCTTTTCTATAAATATTTTCATGATCATCGTTCTGATGGTCTTTTCTCTTTGGTACCTAGAGTTTATGAATTTAAGCGCAGATTGGTGGAAAGGTCTCAACATTTCTTTGCTAACAGTTTCTTCTCTGGCATTTCTCGCTTTCTTATTTTCCAGTCAACTATGATTTTCGAAAATTTAAATGCAATATCAACCGTTATTTTCTGCCTTCTTAATTCCTGTTAATTTATTGATCAGTTTCCTTAATGTTTTCTTTTTCTCATAATCCTTCGCACTCAGTAACCAAGTGGCTTACTTGGGGTGAAATGATAAAAGAAAAATCCTCATCGTTGACTTTACGATCTGTTGCAATGATTTTCTCACTCTCGAACAATTCACAGACTGACTGGGACAGTCATGGAAGAAGCACATTTGGGGTTATTTTAAGAACAATTCTTGGACATCAAAAGATCGAAAAAGAGATAATTATACTGATCAAAACTGAAATAAGAAAACTAAGTTGATTTGTCAAGAATATAGAAGCAGGCGGAATAAGAAACCTGTAAACCTGTAAAGAAATGATAAAATGAAGACAGGCAGACAAAAAGGGGAAAAAGTAAGATTTGAAAGGAAGACAGGTTGGATAGAAAAGATAGGCGAGGAAAAATGAAATGAAGGCCTGAAGGAGATAGGATAGAGAGAAGAAAAGAAGCAAGGCAGGAGAGAAATGAAAGAAGAAAAGAAGCAAAGCAAGAGAGAAGAAAGGAGAGAAGAAATAAAAAAAAAGCAATAGAAGAAAGTAGAAAAGACAAAACAGCAATGACAGGAAAAGAAAAACATTAGTAAGGAAGAAAAAAAAGAATACAGGAGAGAATAAAAACAAAGGAAAAGAAATCAAGAGAAAAAATGGAAGACGAAACGTTCAGAAAGGATAATGAATCAATGAAGAAAGTCAGGTAAGAAGAAAAACTGGAGAAAGTAGAAGAGAAAGGCAAAAGTGTGGAAGGAAAATAGAAAAAAAAAATGTTAAGGTACGAAAGAAAATTAAGTTAAAGTGGGACGTAGGAAGAAAGGAAAGTAAAAAAAAAATCAGATGGTGGCTTAATATCGCGTCATTACGAGCAGATGTTGAATACAACTGCAAATGCTCGTCAACGACAAAAAAGAGTTGTTTGAAAAATCAAGTAAAGCTTACAAGAAGCTACATCCACGCTATGAAAGTGAGAGAACGAAGCCCTGATGATTCTTTTATCTAAATAGTTACGATATAACTATGTAAAAACCATTTGAAATTATATTTAATAGTGTTCATTCGACCAATATTGCTTAAAATTTGTAATATTTATAGCAGTATTTAACAAACAAAAAACTAATGCTGATGATGGTTTTTGCGGTGTAGGATTAAAATTGGCAGCGGTGGAAATTTGGGGTCGTATATTGAGTATAAAGATGGCCGACAGATTATTGAGTTGACAGTGTTAAGGGTGGAGGTAAAAACGGAAGATGCGTTATCGGAGAATTCCATCAAAACTGAATAAAATCACCAAATTTCAAATTGAATTCAGCTTCTAAGATGAAGAAACGAATCAAAGGTGTGTGGGCGCAGACGCTGTTCACTGTCTCGAACCAATATTTGTTAGTCAAGGAATCAGTTCCAAACCATTAACGCCTAATTGCTCCGCTAGTGCCGTGACCCCACCTTCCCCACGTACCACAGATCGCCTCACCCAGACCTACATATTTTAAACATCTTCCAACCATAACAAACTTTAGCCTTTTCCTTCTCAACGTGGCCAACCTGAGCGACATCTCACATTATTTAATCTCTAATCAAATGGTCAGAGAAAAACCGTTCACTAGAGAAATACCTCCTCTTTAAAAAAACATTATCCTTTTTTATTTTATTCTCTATCATCGACCACAGTTTTTTTCTTCTTTTTCAGTTCCTCTTTACGTCTTTCAGTCCTTCTTTTCTTCTGTCTAAATTCCTCTCGGATTGAACTTTCTCCTTTTTCCCACTTTTTGGCTGTCACTTGTTTGCCTCCAATATTATTTTCTTCAATTCATCTCACATCTGATACGTTATTTTCTAGATTTTTTCTCCTTATCTATTTTATTTCAAATACATACTTTATTTCTTAGTTTTATTGTACATTTTTTTCTTTCGTTAAGTCTTTGTATTCCATATCTCACTCCTTTTTTCTTTATTACTGGTCTTGACATTCACCTTTTTCCCTCTTTCTCACCTTATGCTGTTTTAACTATTTTCTTTCTTACAATTTATATATATATATATATATATATATATATATATATATAGATAGATAGATAGATAGATAGATAGAGATATATATATACACACACGCTGGCAACTGGAAAGTTCTAGATACGACCAAGAAGGTATTTTCCGCAAAATTCTGATGGTTGGTTAACTGCCAAGATTTTGTGGAGTGGGTGAAGCTGAGAACTTTTCAGTGTAAATTCATTCTCCAACTCTTTCAATCTCATTCTCTTACTCTGCAACTCACAATCTCTCCCTCGCAATCTTTCTGGCTCTCCCTCTCTCTCTTTCACACACACTCTCTCTCTTTCACGCACACAAACACACATTCTCTTTCACACACAAACACACATATACTCTCTTTCACGCACATACACATGCACACACTCTCTTTCACACACAAACACACACACTCTTTCACACGCAAACACAGACCCACACACTCTCTCTCTCTTTCATTCACACACACACACACACTCTCTTTCACACACAAACACATACACTCTCCTCTCTTTCACACACAAACACACATTCTCTCTCTCTTTCACTCACACACTCTCTCTCTCACACACAAACATACCCACACACTCTCTCTCTCTTTCACACGCAAACACAGACCCACACACCCTCGTGATATTTCTTGTAATAACTATCCTACAATGTATTTCCTCTTTTATGATTTCATTGAATTTTTTCTTTGAGTTCTCTGACATTTCTTCATAATTTCTATAAACTTGTTTTCTCAATAAATCCCTTTTCTCTCCTTTCACAGGATTCTAATTCTCTGGGAAAATGATTCTGATTGGTATTTTTTTACTACGAATTTTTTAATGCATTTGTTTTATCTCTTTCTTTCTTTCTTATTCTGACCTTTTCCTTCATGTCTCTCTCATTCTGACCCCCTTTTATTGTTCGTTCACAATCGGATTCTCTTTCTTTTTTTCTGCTTCTCATTCTGATCTCTTTCTTTCTGCTTCTCATTCTCTTCTCTTTCTTTCTTTCTTTCTGCTTCTCATTCTCTTCTCTTTCTTTCTTTCTTTCTTTCTTTCTCTTCTCTTTCTTTCTTTCTTTCTTTCTGCTTCTCATTCTCTTCTCTTTCTTTCTTTCTTTCTGCTTCTCATTCTCTTCTCTTTCTTTCTTTCTGCTTCAGTGTAGAATGGTCAACAGAAGATGAGTCTCAAAAGTCATTCCTTGTCATTACCAAGTGTTCAATTATTGTCACAATGATCAACTTAGTAAATAACTACAATTATCTTCCTGACATTTTATTATATATTATTCAATCTCTTCAAAGTTAATATTTCACAGTACTTTTCTTTTTTTCTTTTCTGCACTATCCGTTCTAAAGATCATTTCAAAAATTGTTTTTATTCACTAGAATTTTATTTTTATCAAATCCTGTGTTTTTTACTCTCATCAGTTTTCTCCTTTCATTAAGATAGATTTTCTAATTCCTAAACCCTGTGTATTTAATATCTTCATTACCCTTTATTATCATCTGCTTTATACTCTTCAGTTTTTTCACCATTTTTGTTTGCCAATTTGTCTTACTCTATCCTTTTTAATCTTTTTCAGCTCACCTTATATTATTCTTTCTCATTATTTACCCTTTCTTGTTTTTTTAAATCTTATATGACACCAATTATTATAACTCACAATATTTTAGATTATTGTACAATTTTTTTCTAATTTTTTCCCAATAAATAGACTTTTAGCATAAATCTCTGCGATTTATTTTACAAATTCTTTTCCATTCACATTTTTCTGTTATTTTTGTTACTGTGGATATTTTTTCTTGTCTTAAACTTTGAATCATACACACCCTCCTCCTCGTTTACTTTCAGATCATATCAAAGATACCCTCTTTATTTTCCGCTTCTTTTATCTCATTTCTCACTTTCTCATTTAGATTCTTTCTTTATTTTTTATTTCCGTCCTTCCATCTTTTTCTTTATTTCTTCCATTTTCCTCTTCCATCTTCTTTTCCCCTTTTCCTTCTTTTTCCATCTTTCTTTACCCTTTTTCTTTTCCCTTTTCCATCTTTCCCTTTCCAATCTTTGCCTTTTCCCTTTTCCGTCTTTCTTTTTTCCTCTTTTCCATCTTTCTCTTTCCCCCTTTACTTCTTCCCCTCTTTCCCCCTTTACTTCTCTCCATCTTTCCCTCTTTACTTCTTTCCCTCTTCTCCCTTTACTTCTTTCCCTCTTTCCCCCTTTATTTATTCCCCCTTTACTTCTTTCCCCCTTTACTTCTTTCCTTTATTTCTTTTCTTCTTTCCTTTATTTCTTTCCTTCTTTCCTTTTCTGCTTTCCTCCTTCCCTTTTATTGAATTTCATATTCTAACACAACCTAAATCTATTTACTCTCCTTATATGTTATTTCTTCCTTGTTCTATATTTTAAAGTCACATTTCTTTTTAATATATCCTTTCTTTTTACGTGCATTTCTCGTTCTCTTATTTCTTTCAATCTTGTTTCAGTATCAAAACCTTGATTTCCTTTTCATCCCGAACACACCTTCCCTGCCCCCTCACTTCTCCTGTGTTTCTCCTTCTTTATGCCAATTCCTTGTTGATTGCCCCCAGGCCCATGTGACGTCAGAAATGGTTTGAGAGATCAATAACACCGAATGGCTAATATTTCCATTTTCTCACACCGGAAAATAGGGGAATAGCTTTCTTTGTTTGAATACTAGGTGCTTCATTTTTATTAAATTCCCATCCTTTGCCCACACCGCCATTCCCTTATCGCAAAGATGGAAGATACAAGAAGCGGCATTAGTATCGCTGTTATTATTATTTTTGGTTTTGCCACCATTTTTGGTCTTATTTGCTTATTTTTTTCTGATTACATTTCATTCATTTTCATCTAATTCTCTTTCATTTATTTCTATTCTGCTTATCTATTAGATTTTTTTCCTTCTGTAGTGACTCTTTCTTCTTTCTTTTTTTTATTTGTTCATTTCCAAAGAGGTGAAACAAGAAGGTAACTTCAGAACTTTTTCTTTACGTTTTTCATTCCGTTTTTACTTACATAACTTTTTATTAATTGCGCTATAAGTATATTTGAATTACTTTTTCTTCAAATTTTTATTATTGCCTTCAAATTCTTCGTTTGTTTAGATTTTTTTCTTTGATGGTTTTATTTTTTCTTCATTTTATTACTTTTATATTTTTTCTTTTTCTTTCTTCCCATTATCTTTATCCTTACTGGTCATCTTAAAATAATTTTGTCATATGCCACACATAAAACTCTTATATAACAATTCAATAAATTCTACGATTGTTTTTCCTATGAATGGATATGCAAGATTTATGTTTTCTTTTGGTACCACTGATGGAATTGAGACCAGAAAATGTCTTTTTTTTTTCATCCATATTATATTATATTTATAAATAATAGTTGGTCACTATTCCACTAATTCTCCAAATTACTAATATCATTGTTTTTGCTTTTTTCGTACAACGAAATTCTCCGACCTTTTTCGTCTATTAAGTCACAAGAAAAATACAATAGCTTCCTTTACAGCCTTGTCTTTGAGATCGGCTATATCGTGTTGAAACACCGGTTTCTGTAAGATCACCGAAGTTAAGCAACGTTGAGCATGATCAGTACCTAGATGGTTAACCTTTTTAAAATACCAGTTGTTGTAAGGTGGCATGTGTGGGTGCTGTAATGGATAATGGCTCCGAACTGAAAATTGGAGAGCCGAGTTCTAATTTCCGTTGGGTTCCTTATATTCACTTACGCGCAAGTACCTTTGGGAAAGGTATGAAAGCACCTCTTCTCCTCCCAGATATGGGTTAATTAATAAGACTTATTATCTCAAAAACTTCTTACAATTTAAAAATAATTTCTCGCTTTATACAACCTGCAAAGCGTTGATAAACCGTAGAAAACGAATCAATCGATTGTTTTCTGGTAGAATGCAACAAAACGTGAGATAAACATATTTTGGAGTATTTCTACTCCTGGGATGCATTTTACAATTATAAAACAGGTCACAGTGTGTTAAATAGAAGAGAATAAATTAAACATTAATTTAAAAGAATCTGCTAAAAACAAACAAAAACAGTTACATAGGTTGTGGTATTTTGTAAGTACAATATATGCGGGGATGCATTTTTAGTGGTCCGTGAATTGACGAATCAGCAACTGGCAAAAATGCGAGATTTCATTGTAAAAAGTTTCTTCTTTCAAACTTCTTCAGTGAGATTTTTCACCGTGTAGAGTATGTGCCTGCAATAGGATAGGATAGTTTCTCTAACATTACATCCTCTCCATCACTGACAAGTAGTCAGCAAAATTTCCCTACAGTAATACAATAAAAATAGCCAATACAGACCAGATGTTCTGCTATTTATTAATTTAACAGACAATGCAACTTTGTTGGTCTGAAGTGGAAACTAATATTCGGAGACACGACTGAGACAGCTCACTACGGAACAACAACCGTCGTTGTCAAACACCAGCTTGAGCTATTTATGATGTCGTAACAATGATATAAAAAGTAGTCTGATGCCTTCGTGATAACGATCTCGTGGACTAAACAATTTTTTCTCGTTCAGCCATTTGCGTCTGGCCTCCACGTTGGAAGCTGGCCATATATCATATTCCGTTTCCATGAGGAATTAGCTGAGTATTGCACCAATCCATTATACCAAACGGTTATCTGTAGAGAATCGGCAAGCTGAGTTCAAATTCTAACTAATTCATCTATATGACCCAGGCGGCTCTCGATTTTGTCACTGTTTTCTTTACTTTAGATTATTACTACTGTTAGAATAGCGTAGCAGTTATCAGAGGCGAAAAAAGGAATCGATAAGCTGAATTCAAATTCCAGCTTCACCTATTGCGTACACTTTCGCACTAATACCTTTGGAAGAAAGCATACACACATCTCTCCTTTTCCTCTTAGCTATAGGTTAAATAGCAGAATAGACTAGGCTCTCTAACCTTGGGTGGCAATCAGATTAGAAGAAGAGCTTTTCTGAATTCAAAGACTAAAATGTCAGAAAGAAATAAGTTGGACATAGCATGGTTAAATGTCTTGTTGGCCGATGATCGACAATTCAAAATAAATTATCTGGAATTAATTTTCTAAGATGTAACTTAACTGAGAACGAACTCAGGACCTAATGCCTGGTTTCTCAGAGGTATCTGCCATTTTTAATTTTTGTTTGAATTAAAATTGTATATCTCGATTTAAAACTTAATAACTTTCCATTTCTATTTTTTTTTAAATAGGAGTAGATAGGCTTTCATATCGACCGGTTCATACTCTCCCCTTCTCTTGAACAAGAGTAGAAGCTCATTCCTGTTTGTGAAGAGATTTCCGATTCCTATCTTCTTATGAGGTTTTAATACTGGTGCTGTCATGAATTTTTGGTGATATGAGCGGATGGTGGCTACGTTTGTTTATACTGAGGGTACCGGGTTGGTAGTTTTCTGGTTGCTGCTTTTTGACTGATAGTTAGGAACCCGAACTCTTACGTAGCATCTAGGGATGCTGCTCTGATCAAGTCGCATAATATCGAGATTCTTTCAGTGTCATGTCGCTCATGGAAGGGTGTCCCTGCAAGCACTTCTTGCAACCACGAGGCCATACTATGCTACAGTCTGCACATGTTACCTTGGACAAACGACAGCTCTTCTCGGCCTTTTTTCTAATCTAAATAACACTCCATGACGATAAGCAACCAACAAAACATAACTAAACCAGTTCGGCAAAAAACACGTAAATCCTTAAATCTTTCTTTCTTTCAACATTCATGGTATTCGTAACTACTTCTGCAGTGTGGAATCGTTCCTCTTCGAATATTCTCCGAGCACCCTAGCTCTCTGCGAAACTTATTTTAATTATCCAATCCACTCTGAATTCCTGATTTCTGGATGTCTTCTTAGGAAGGAATCTAGTGTACACGTATGTTTATATTCGGGAACCTCTCCCACTAGCTAGGGAACTCTCTCACTCTTTTGAATGACCAGACCATTTTTACATGTGCCTCCGTCTTTCTCTACTAAACTCAGTCACCTATCTCTTCTTTCTCTACCGTGCCCCTTCTTCTATTTTTGTGTTTAGTGACTTCAGTGTCATGTAGCTTAGTCACTCTGTCACTGAGCTCGCTGGCATCCAAACCCTGAACTTAAACTTAACGCAAGTGGTGGATTTCTCCACGCGTTTCCCTAGTAATCCTGATGGACATGCTTCTCTTCTTGATCTCTTCTCTACCTCTACCCCTGACTCATGTTGCATTCCACAACTCTGCCCGCTTGGCAACTCTGATCATGCGATAAAGTCTGTAAATATCTCTTTCTGCTCTACCATCTGGCACGAACCTCCTACCAAGAGAATCTTTTTGTGTGTTCTGACTATTCCAAAAATGATAGGACGCAAAGGGATACCTGACTGATGGGTCTTAGGGAGACCGTTTTGGTGTTCTACGCTGATATTCTATTAGTCTATACCAGGATTTGTTTTCATTTTTAATCAGTTTCTTGATTTTGTTTTTGTAGAATTTTTGTCTTTTAGTAGTTATTTTTGTTCGTTTATTTTTTCAAATAATATTCTTTAAAAAATTTTGAAATTACCATCTTCTTTCGTTCCGTGCTCATGTGTAGACGGGACAATATCAACAAAGAAACCTGTCACAAATCTCTTTTTCCATGTCATATTATATATATATATATATATATATATATATATATATATATATATATATATAGAGAGAGAGAGATAGATAGATATATAGATAGATAGATAAAATAGCTATATATATATATATATATATATATATATATATATATATATGTAGATAGAGAGAATAGCGAGATATGTAGACAGATAGAGAGAATATATATATATATATATATATATATATAGATAGATAGATAGATAGATAGATAGAGAGAGAGAGAGAGAGAGAGATAGAATATATATATATATATATATATATATATGAGAGAGAAAAAGAGAGTCTAATAATTATGCTGGAGTGCATGTTTAAATAAAAGCAGTATTTATACGCTATTATATATATATATATATATATGCGTTTCTCTAAATTCATTATATGGCATATGATTCAATAATCTAAAATTCCATACTTTGCCAAATTAAACTCAAGCCAATAATTTTAATATTAAAAATGATGTTTATTCTGACAAATTGAATTTCTGTCGGTTGCTGTTTATTTGAACAAAGTTACTTACAAAATCACGAGTTTCATTTATGCAGGAAATATCGAACTCCTGGATGAAAACATATTGAAGATCATTCATTTGCTAATGATAGTGTCTAAATTTCAATCCCTATCCCCAGATCTTTAGA